TGGTGCAGCGCCAATGGCACCGGCTCGCGCTCGTGTGGCGCGTGCAGCGTGACGGTGTCACCGCGCACAGTGACCTCCGGCCGGCGGTAGTGCAGGAGCACTGCGACAGCGGCCCACGCCGCCGCGTCTGCGGCGTTTCCATCGTCGTTGAGTACAACGACATCGACACGCAGACTCCACACGCGGCGGCCCGGAAGCACGCAGAGACTTTCCGTATCGATGGCGCCGCCAGCCTTGAGAAGCCGCTCAAGGAAGGCGGCCAACTTTTTCAGTTCTGCCGCCCTGCCGGTGCTGTCGCGCTCCGTGTGCGGCTGCCGCACGGAGAACTCGAGCATGCCGTGTTTGGGCCGGTACGGGTACGGCTCCACCAGTGTGCACGCAACAGCGGCCGTCACGACAGTGCCGCCGCAGCGCACACACACAACATCGCGCGAGAGCAACGGGAACTCAACCGTCACGTCCCGGAGCTGTTGCGGCTTGCGCTGGTCGGGCCGCAGTCCGGCGAGCCACGCCGACTTCGTAAACTCCACCTCACGCTGCCGCAGTGCCGGACTGGCGATGATCTGCGCCGCACGTTGGTGCAACATCAATAGCACGAGCGGCACCCCCACCCCCCTTTCTTCTTCTGTCCGCTCCCCTACTTCCCTGGTGTTGCGTTCAGTGTTTCGCGGGCAGACCCAAATAATAATAAAAACACAGAAAAGAAGTGAAGAGACAAGGGCGAAGCAGAAGTGACGAAAAACAAAAACGACAGACGTGCTCAGCACGGCGCCAGCGCAGGCAGTTCAGGTGTGAAAGTCGCCGAATCATAATCGCCATCATCATAATCAGCAATAACAACAGCCGATGCCGCGAGAGACAACTGCCAGGGCACTGTGAGTGCGGGGGGAAAGAGCTGCTCATTCATCGCTGGCGTTGGCGTACGCCTCCACCGCGAAGTCCTCATCCTCGTCCTCCAGCAACTGACTCTGCACCACCCTCTGCGGCGACAGCCCGCCACCAGTCTCGAGTTCCTCACGAGACCACAACTTTGCGATCGCATCACCGCTCTTTAATTCCTCGCGGCGCCGCCTCTGCTCCTCATCGAGCACCTCCGCGCTGCGAATGCGTTGGTCGTGCGCCGCGTCGTAGGCGGAGATGTCGGGCTTCATCAGCAACGACTCCAGGTGACCGATGCCGCTGCTGCTGCTACTGCCAGTGTTGTCATAGTCACCGCCCTCAGCATCACCGGCCTCCGCCTCGACAGGGTTGAGGCGCATCCACGACGCCGCTGGTCTGGGCTTTGAAAGTGGCAATGCTGCTGTTTCTGTTGTTGTTGCTGTTGCTGTCGCTGTTGAATTTGGACGCCTGTAGAGCGGCAGAATACCATCGACAGAGACATCCGGACCGAGTTCCATCGAGTTACGTGTCTTGCGCTCAATGCGCTCCATGCGGGCGCGGTGCTTCTCGCGCAGCCGCTGACGCTCCTCCTCCTCCCGTTGCTCCTCCGGCCGCCGCACATTGTTCTGGTAGAGGAAGTGGTGCTGCATCAGCAGCCGCATCGCGAGACGTGTGTCACCCTCCATCAGTCGCCGTTCCTCCTCGTCGAGGTCGACTGGTGTACCAGCACCCTTCTGCTTCTCAGCTGCTTTGTCCTGCCGATAGCTCGTGGCGGCGCCGCTGGCAGCATTACTCCTCTGTGTTGAGTTTGGCGGTCTCCCACGTGGTGCTGTAGCGCTCTTCGCGGGCCTGGCCGACACAGCACGCTTCGGTGCATGCCTGCTAGGCGTTGTGCTGAAGCACCGCAGCCAGCATGCCCTTATTGACACCACCTCTGTTGCTGTTGTTTTTGCAAATATTGCAGCAGTTTGTGACGCTGGAGCAACACACGTGAATGTGTGACGCGCCAGCCTACGCATCGCCTCTCCAGCGAAGACGTTACTTTCACTCGACCAAAAAGACATGCAGACACGAGAGAAGCACAAGTCATGACTATTATGATGATGATGATGATGATAGCAACAGAATCAGCAGAAGTTAGTGGATGTAAACAGCCGTGTCTGCCACTTCTACATCATCACCGCCACACACGCGCAAGACGCGGAACCATAAGAAGAGTATAACAAAGTGACCTCCCCAATATGATTGGCCCCGTCCAGCGCGTGTGCCTCAAAAAATGGAAATAGCACAAGGGAAAATAGTCATAATAATTATTATTTCTGCATAATCGCATGTCGTTGTTGTTGTTTTTTTAGCGCATGTCTAATAAAAAAGAGCAGCCATGTGGAAGTAACGACTTGATAAAAGCTTAAGGAACGAGGGAAATCGAAAGGGAAGGGTGGGTGTTGGAAAGAACCAGAGGTAGACAGATATATTGGGCACTACACACGCACATGTGTGCCCCAGATCACTAACGCACAATTTCATCATATGCTATTGTTGTTGTTGATATTATATGGGGGGAGCGGCACCTATTGTATAGTCCACGTTACCCCCGCCAGCAGACAGGCAGAGTGGCCCACCCGCATTGTACACAAAAAGAGAACAGAAATTGTCAGCGGAGAATCAGAGAGAGGGAAAAAAGCGGTCTTCGATCATGCTGGGGAGAAACACACACGCATATTTATACATATATATATAATATA